GCCAGGATAAATATTGCTTGTACATTGTGTTTCTGCTAAGGATGTGACATTATAGTTTTGCTGCAAGCTGAAGGAAGTATAGCACGTTTTTCTGTGCACTCTTAATAAAATAAAATTAAAGGAATGAATAATAGATTCTGTAAGGTAGGGTGAAGACATTCAAGATATTTAATCTGTAGGCGAGGAGGATAAGTGGCAAAAGTAATGTGAAATATAAAGGCATGGATGTTAAGTGTATGAGAAGCTGGTCATGGAAAAATGGGCAAGAGAAAGGGGAATTCAATTAAAGGAGAAAGAATTGATAATAATCTTCTATAATATTTTTTGACAGAGAGATGAATGAAGGTATAGAACAAGGATGTAGGAGACAAAAAAATGGGTTGGAAATTTAGCTTTTTTTGTATGTTGGAGAACCCCTGGCAGAACTCTAATCTTCCTTAGTCTAATCTGCTTTATCCTGATAATGGTATGAAGAGTACTTAACTCAAAACATTGCACATTATAGCTGTATTTATGAGATACAAAGCAATGCCTTGTATCTTTTTGATCAAAAGAAATGCCTTTTATCTTTTTTTTTTTTTTTTTTTTTTTTTTTTTTTTTTTTGGAGAGGTTTTTGCTATAGGGCGCGTGCTCGCACCAGAAAGACAGAGAGAGACAGAGAGACAGAAAGCGAAAAATCACCCCCCAGGGGGAATGGCCATGCCACAATCCCTTCTCCTCCATTCTCCTCTCAAGATCTTGGGCATGCACACGCATTCAGCGTGATGTTAAGCCACTGGTCCGGGACTTGAACTGCCATCGAGTATATGGGAGTCCAGCAACATAGCCATTACTCTAACTGCTGGTCCTAGCCTTGCATCTTTATACACAATGTAGAATGATTAAATCAAGGTCAATATTCAAAAAATTTTAATGTATTGGCACAAGATTAAAAAAATAGAATCCATCTGCTCAAAGTCAAATATTTTGAAATGTTTTGACTATTAAAAGATCAATAAATCTGATATAACAAAACATTAGATTAAAATAAAATAAGAGTAGTTCACTTTTGGTTTAAAGCATCATTTCAGTGAAATGTCTGACTATTTTTAGCCCATTTAATCCCATGTCCATTCCAAATAGTAATAAGGTGGAGACATACAATGATTTTCAATAGAGAAATGAAAATAACCAAAAATAATTATACTAAATAATGCTTTAATGAAAAAATACTCTTCATATATGTTGGAAGGTAGAAGCTGTTGAACTGTGTTGAATTTTGCCTTCACTAATAACAACTTGATCTTGATGAGACCAGGTTCAGTCTATGGTAGAAACAGAATCTGACACCTACATTTTATTTATATCCCTAAAGTGACTCTGCAAATTTAAATTTTTCTTTGTGAATCTGTTTCTCATTTTCCCCAAAAAATCGTGGTTTTTATAATAATTATGATGTTACCAAGCCTGTATGAACCTTGTTCTTTATTGATATATATACCAAGGTATTAATATTGAATTACTAATCCAAGGGCTTATTCATTGAATAGGCATGCTATTCATATTTGTATTATATTGCTAAAAGCTTTGATAGAAAAAAATAAGAATTCCATCTATGTAATGTTTCGGTAAAGATATAAATATGGCATAAGAGTTTATGCAGCAATGCAAAAAGATAAATTATGCTGACAATCTTTCCTTACTAATCAGCGGATGCTACAGATGTAATTGTGTGGTATAATATGTGAGCTGCCTCAGCCAGAAACATTTCTTCTCCTGTGTCCTGAGAGAGGCTGGCTCCCAGCATCTTTTTTCATATGATGGTAGTTTCTCCTTTGAATAATTGGATTGTAACCTCGCCCAAAACTCTCCTCTCTGTAACTGTATGGGGAAATGAGGGACGGCAGTGTGATGCCCTGACACGCATACCTTCTGATTCCAAACCAGACCCAATACTCAGACAGAGATTCATGGCCAAGTCACTCGTCTGGATTAAGTGTGAGCTTCACTCTTGCTTTCCCATGTATTATTTGTGTTTTCTTATGTACTTACCTTCTCATGTCTCATTTCTTTCACATGTAGAATAGAGACTATTTTCCAATCTATTCATTTTTCATTTTAAGGTCTAATGAGATCATACAAATTTAAAGATAGTTTCCAAGATTTAATAAAAACTCAACATGCATATATTACTTTTAACATCATTGCATGAGCTTAACTTGGAGAAAAATACCCACTTCAGTTTCCATCCATTCATTGTTCATTCACATAGTTATTTATTGCATTCTAGATGTCATGTACTTCCATATACTTGCTACACACATTATACCAGGACCTCAGCCTTACAGAACTGGGACAACAGAGTACATCCTCTTTTTTATGGAAGGGAAAGTGTTACTCTTTCATAGCCCATTTCCCTTTTCATTTCTACACTTTCGCTGTTCAATCACTGTTGTAACTGCTATACACACGGATGTTCTGCAAGTTTTGCTCCCAAGATCATGTCCATACATAATAAGTACACAAAAAATTCAGAATATAACTTTCATCTTTAAAAATCTACTTTAAAAAAATAGATCACATAGAATAACCATTTAGGGGTATTTGATAATCTTCATTTTGCATTTCTTTTTTATGTTGTTTCCTTTAGTTTTCTTTCTTTCTGTTTTGGTTTGCTATTGTGCACATGTACTCACCAGAGAGAGACACAGAAATCACCTCCCTGTGGGGGATGGCCATGCCGTAATCCCAGCTCCTGTGTTCTCCTCTCAGGATTTGGGACACAAACATATATGCATTCCATGTCCTTTTCAAGCCACCAGGTCTAGGACTCTAATCATGGAGTCAGCAGTGTGGAATCCAGAGCCTTAATCTCCACACCACCTGTTGGTCCTTCATTTACCATTTCTAAAATATCTTTGGTACATTGAAAAAATATAGGCTAAACTAATATATGAGTGACAGGCTAATAAGGTTTCTTCATCTACTTCTCTCTTTTTATTTTTCTTTATTTCTTCTTCACATTTAATTGTTAGAAATCTCCATTGCACACAATATAGTTGTTCAGCATTATGCATTACATTGCTATTAAATCAAGGATATTGCCCTACACCTCTATTCAGTAAAAGAACTCCAGTCTTATGGCTGTCAAATACTTCTTTCCTAAGCCCCTCCCATTCAATCCCTCACTCTCCACCCCCCTTCCCCTGTGGTGTCTCCTACCATTATATCTTTTTTTTTTTTTACATTTAATCACTGTATATCTCCCCTATAAAATAACTCTTCCCAGGAAGAGTACTCTTAATTTACAGCTATATAATGTCTAGAAAAGTATAAACAACTAAGAATTCAACTATATCCTCAGGCTTAATCAAGGACTAAGGCATATACTAGAAGATGCTCCACATTCATATGGTTATGTTCAATTAACATCATAAATTAATTTCTGCTAAGAACACTAACTGGGCCAAAACACCTGTGGCAGAAAAAGCAAAGCATATAGTCAATTAGTTTTGCTTTTTCAATTGTTTATTCTGAGGCTGAATCTTCAGAAGACTTATCCTGGTCAAAAAAAAAAAAAAACAGAGAGGGAGTAAGGAATTAGGGGAAGAGAGAGAAAGAAGAGAGGAAAAGGGGAAGACAGAAAGAGGGGAGGAAGAAAGGAAATTCATTTCAAAATATCACATCAACTGGAGAGAAGGAACTGTACCAAACTGTACCAAAATGCATCTCTGCTGGACAAATGATAGAAGGTGGGATATTTGGTGTTACTTGTTGAATGTGGAAGCTGTGGATACTGGCATACCATTGTTTCTGAAGAGTAAAGTGAAAATGAAAAAGTACTTGGAAAAGAGCCAGCTTTTACAATTCGGAGATTATGAAAGAGTCACAAACAGTACAGGATGTATTTCAATTTAAAAAGATAATTCATTGTGACTTTAGTAGAAATAAGAATTCTGATTTTAGTATTTTCATTATTAAATACTCTTGACATTTTTAATAAAAATAAAGTTGGTGCTATATACACTTGCTGATTTTATAATGCCCACAAATTTAGACTACCAATAGTTTATATTTGCCTTATTTAGGCTTATAATAATAATTCTTCATCTTCTTTCCCTGTGGCTAAATATGGAAAAATCTGTTCTGTGAAATAAGAGTAATTTCATCTGTCAAGAGTTTTTAATCAGTCAAGAGTAATTTTATCATGCCCTGTAGTAAATGCCATATTAATACTCAGACACTATTAATTGTTGAGTTAAGGCTGAAAATAAATAATAATGTATAGGTCATGATAACTTTTCTTCTAAAAATTATAAGTGCTTTTATTTTTGAGTTGTGTCTTATCGATTCATGATAGTTTCTAATGTCTTTCTGTAAGTAAAATGCTCTTCAACTACATAAGTGAATTGTATTCTCCGGAGTTTCTTATACTGGGAATATCCTTTTATAAAATTTTTATAATTATCTGTTAAAATGTAGCAAGATGTTGTATTTTAATGCAATTGAGTTAAAAAGTAATTTGTTAATATTGGGTTAGTAATTATAAGCTATACCGAGACATCACAAAATTCACAAAATTCTATTTCATATCACCCATTACTATTATTATTTAGAGGTTTTTGCCTCTTTTTGCTCATTGAAAAGAGTCAGAGACAGTGAGAGGAAAAATATGACATCATCCCACCAGGGGAATGGCTATGCCGCAATCCCTTCTCCTCCATTCTCCTCCTGGGTTCTTGGACACACACATACATGCACCCAGTGTGAATTGCAAGCCTTTAGGTCCAGGACTTTAACCATGGTCAGCCATGTGGCAGGTCAGCAACATAACCACTACACCATCTACGGCCCCAATTACCTATTATTGAAATCAGAATAATGTACTGTAATAAACTGTTTGGAGTCCAGTTCTATTTCCTTCCAGGTACCAGAACCAATTTTTCTATACTCTATAACTTTTAATAACTTCTGTCCCTTCTCTAATTATTACTAATAATTTACTGTTTTTTTAACACAGGTAATGGATTAGGAATTAGAATTGTGGGTGGTAAAGAAATCCCTGGGCATAATGGAGAAATTGGAGCCTATATTGCGAAGATTCTTCCTGGAGGAAGTGCAGAACAGACAGGGAAACTTATAGAAGGTAAGAATAAGAGATTTCAAAGTCAAGTAAAATGAATGTACTCATGTTAAGTATATTTTAATTTAATATGCAGATTTTCTCTTCTTTTACTTTCTAGGTAAATCTCTCTTTTTCTGGATTTTTACAAAACCTTGATATAGCAATATACAAAAAGATAAATCCACAAATCTGTTTATTTTATTGCCAATAAAACTGTTTTTTTTTTTTTTTATTGCCAGTGGCATTGTACTTTGGGTTAACTACAGAAATGTGTTGTTTAACCAACACTTATTAGTCAAGAATGTTGACTGGTTAAAGCAATTATATTTTTAAAAATGGATTAATGTGTCATAAATACCAGTAAGTTCATCAGCCTCTATACTTGGTACTATTTACTTTTGATACTATTCAGTTCATCATGATGATCTAAAACTGTCATAGAATTTGAACACTTTTAATGACAATGTTTGTAATAACTTTGCTTATCACAAAATAAGTGCAACCTTTTAATGTTTACTCTAAAAAAAAACTTATTTGGAAATAAAGGTTCTTTTTGTAATTTCACAGTTTAACAGAACCAAGCCTGCTGATGCTCAAAACCTTTAATTAGGTTAAAAATGGTTCACTATTTTTTTTTAATCAAAAATATTGAAACGCACCAAAAAAGTCTTTGGAAATTTCAAAAGATTATTAGAATAAACACGAACTAGGGACCAGTAGTTAGCGTAATGGCTATGTTGCTGGACTCCTATGTAGTCAACCATGATTTGAGTCCCGGACCCGGTGCCTTAAACTCACGCCAGGCGCGAGCGTGTGTGTGCCCAAGATCCTAAGAGGAGAATGGAGGAGAAGGGATTGTGGCGTGGCCATCCGCCCTGGGGGTGATTTCTCGCTTTCTGTCTCTCTGTCTCTCTCTGTCTTTCTAATGAGCGCATACCATATAGCAAAAAAACCTCTCAAAAAAATAAAAAATAAAAAACCCACAAAGTAAAGGTCGTATTTATTCATCACAGTGTTATGCTGGGGGTAGTGTACTCTATATCCCTATGGTATGCTGTACACATTTCTTTCCAACTTCAAATTCAATGGCATCATGTTGATAGCTTGAATTGGCCTTCTGGGAGAATATACAATGTAGAAATCAGCATATACTATATACATCAAGTCGTTTGCTTGTTTTCCAAAGCCTAGTTTAATAGCACATTATCAAATATGTGACTGAAGGCATGTCATTAGAAATATTCTGGGCCCAGCAGTTGGTGTAATGACTGTCACTGGACTCCCATGTGGTCGACCGTGGTTTGAGTCCCAGACCCAGTGGCTTAAACTCACACGGGGCACGTGTGCGTGAGTGCCCAAGATCCCGAGAGGAGAATGGAGGAGAAGGGACTGTGGCACGATTATCCCCCCTGGAGGGTGATTTCTCGCTTTCTGTATCTCTGTCTCTCTCTGTCTTTCTGGTGAGCGCATGCACCCTATAGCAAAAGCCTCTCCCAAAAAAAAAAAAAAAGAGTATATATTCTAATGTTCCTAAAACAAGGAAGGTTGAGATCTACTCTGATACCTAAGCAAAGTCAAAGATTATATGAATCATGAAATAACAATTATAAGAAAGCACCGGGTAAGTATGGCTCTTCTATAACTATAATCCTTTCATGCCCAAAGCATATAGTTGGTGCTACTGACTAGATAGAATACATAAATTAAGACTTGTTTTTAAAGATGAAGTAACAGATTGATTTTATATAGTATACTCCAGAAAGAATTAAATATTTGATTTTTGTTTTAACATAAAAATGACAACAGTAACTGTGCCTGGTATTTTTGGTGAAATACTTGAATACTTCAAAGATAAATTTCATACCCTCCTTTGAGTAATAACGTGTAAATAAGCACATGTGACAAATCAGGATGATTTTTAAGACAATGTCTATGTTTACTGTGATGAAGTATGACCTTTGTACTTTATCGTCTATGTGGCCCTTGTAAAGTTTATAAGCATAATTTAAAAATAGTTGTAATATAGACTTATTCAAGAGACAACACTGAGCTGAATTATATTTATGATTTTAGATGTAAGTCTGCCACTAAAGTCTTTTCATCTTATTTTGGAACTAGTAATTTTGTAGTTATATAATTGGTTTTAGTGGGAAATCATTAAAAACTACATCAATATTTTTTAATAATTTTTTATTTAAGATTTACAGCATTGCTTTATTACTCTTAAGCTATACAGCTTTAACAAAACACTTGGTAATATTTTTATTATGTGCATACACTTTTTGTATAATTGGACTATTTCTATTACTGTCATTTTGACTGTTGATTTGTAAATAATACTTTTTAATATTAAATAATCTGGGGAATAATTTAGGCATATGATATTCTTTCTCCGACACATAAAGGCTGTATCTATGTTCTGTACCACCAGACTAGAATGACCAATGTCCATTCCTTTTATGGCTAAGGTTAAATGAGCTAGAATACTCCCAGTTCACATGGGTATTCATAAGAATTCATATTGTTTACCCAAGTGAATTTTCTGGTACTCTTTATATGTTCGTGCATATATGTGAGTGTCTGTTGTCTATAGTTAGGCTATTAATTTATACATGATATCCTGAGGGATTAGGGCCTTCAGTTTCAACTCTTAAAAGATTCCCTAAAATTTCAATGTAGTAGATGTTTTGAGATACAGTCCTGATTTGTATGTCAATATGCGGCATCACTATAATAATGCCAATTGTACATTAAAATGTGTATGACTTTTGATTTTTAATGTATTTATTAATATCTATATGAGTGATTAATTTTCCATATTTTGAAGTTAATTTTTTCCTAAGGAAAACTTATATGTGTGTGTGTGTGTGTGTGTGTATGTGTGTGTGTGTGTGTGTGTGTGTGTGTGTGTATATATAAAAATTGATATATAGATAGATTCATTGTGTGTTTATATAATTTAATATCTCCACCTGTATATTGAATTCCAGGTAAACTTGAGAATTGATGATCTCTTCCAGGTATCTCCTTGCTTTCTGTATTCCTGAATACAAACCTCTATAGACTGAACCTGTGTAAATTCAATATTATTTTCCAGGTGATTTAAAATAAGAATGATAACTTGGTTGTGTACAAGATTTCTTAGACTGTTCATTTCCCACTCTAAACTACAAAGCTGTTGTTCAGAAAAGTTTGACTGGATCTACTGCTTTTTCTGAGTGTGTTGATGTCTCCTATAAAAGGCCCTTCCAACTCCTCAGTGTCTGACATTTTAACAATTGTGGAACACTCAGTGGCATAGACTCTGATTATGTTGACTTGTGGGAAAGTAAGAGTGTTTTTGAATTTTCTCTAGATTTTCATTCTCTGAATTTATCCATTTATCCATTCATTCTGTGATGCTTGTAAGCCAAATGCTAGTCTGAAAAAAATATTCTCTTATGTAACTAATGTTGGGGGAAGGGGAGGTAGGAGGGAGAAATCCCCAGTGTATTTCCTACATGATTGCTCTAGTTATTTGTTTGAAAGATTTTACTCAACATTTAAAAAAAATCCTTCTGAACAGGTTGTCTATCTTGTTAATATAGGACAATTTTGTGTTTCACAGTGCTGAGAATTAGCCATAATTATAATTGCAACATCATTATGTTATACTCAAGAAATTGGTTTTAAAACACTCCTAATATTAGCTTTGTGCCATCTCCTAAAATAAAAAAAATGCAATTAGAGTGTTCCTTTAATCAAAATTTCCTGAACCAATCTTTTAGTTTTACATCAATCTATAATGATTTTTGAAATGACTCAAGAAATCAGGTACTTAAGGGATCCTAATGTTCCAAAATCTTAACATTTATTTCTTAGCAACATTTAGTAAATACTTTTGAACAAATATTGGACAGAAAATGATCTTCTGCCAGCTATTTTTCTCCTTTTAGGTTGCATAAGATTCATCTTTGATCTATTGAAAATAATGAAGACAAAAGATCTGAGGGATTTAACTGCAAATCTAATTCAGTTTCTGAAGTGTTATTTCTTGCTATTTCCTTTAGCATAAAAATGTTAACAGTTTTTAGATTAGGTGTTGGGGCTGTGACCCACTCATCAATGTTGTAATTTTAAATGGTATATATTTTCTCCCATTTGGGTCTTTGACACTGGTATGTCTCTGAACTAATTTACAATCTAAAGTTACACAGAAATATATGATATGTCAGCATACATTTACCATTTGCCACTTTCTTTAACTCTTTATTCTTAGATAAATTCTTATAAATATTTTATGTTACAATATGCCAATTTCCGTATAATCAAAACCTTCACTAGTTAACTAAAACAATTATGTATTTTCTCTATAATAAACTTTCTTTTCTGCAGACTATTTTACTTGGTGAAACCTACTCAATATCATTATAATATCAGGAAGTTTTGAATTTCCCAGCATAGCTTATGCTTTTAAAATAACACTTTTAATGGGTCAGCAGGTAGTGTGGTGGTGGAGGCACTGAACTCTCATATGACCAACTACAGTTTGAGTTCTGGACCTGGGAGTTTGAAAATCACAATAAGCGTGTGTGTGTGTGTGTGTGTGTGTGTGTGTGTGTGTGTGCAAGATCCCAGGAAGAGAATGGAGGAGAAGGAATCGTGGCATGGCAATTCCCCCTGGGAAGTGATTACTCACTTTCTCTCTCACACGCACGCACATACACACATATCCTATAGCAAAAATCTAAAAACAATAACGAAAGAGAAAAACCGTTTTTAAAATATATTCTCCTCAGAATAAAGTTTGAACCATCTCCAAATTTGGGTAGTGCGCCATACAATTGTCAATACTCAAGACAAATGTAGATCTGTCTTTAAAAATGTAATAAAGGTCAGGTTCAATTCTTCTCTGTGTTTCCAATCACTCTGTGTACACATCTGCCATGTGCCTAAGTACTATGAGTTTGTTTGGGGTTATTTTTTGTCTATATTCAGTTTTTAGAACAATGCCTACTAAGACCCAGATTCAAGAGATACAT